AGGACAGCCATCTGCGACAGAGCCTCGCCAGGAGCCACCTATGGGGAGGGTTATCCTGGAGTCAGAGGAGGCGAGAGCACAGAGACAGGCGGAGAGAGAGGCGTTCGAGTTCAGAGCCCCTACCGAGCCCGCGACACTGCCAGTAGCAGTGGCGGGCCCAGTCGTACCTTTGGCAGTAGAGGAGGGGCTGCCACCATCTAGCAGTAAGCCGGCTCAGGGCTCAGTAAAGGAATCCATGGGCGTGCTCCTTGAGGCGGTGCATACTATGCAGGAGGAGGTGAGTTTGTTTTCACCTGAGCAGAGGATAGAGGAGCCTCTTGAGAGAGAGATGGGGATTGAGGAGGAGGGTGCCATCGAGGGCAGACTCCAGAGGATAGGCACACCTGAGTATGGACCAGAGGAGATTGAGGAGCAGCCCACGGCAGTGCCAGGGGCGACACTCGAGAGGAGGCCTCAGAGGTTGGACACGCCCGAGTACGTCCCAGCGACAGAGGATTTGAGAGGCAGACTAGGATCTTGGGCTACTGGATCTGGGTCTGGTAGACTGGTTTCGGGGACAGAGCAGCAGGAAGTCGTTAGTACCGCAGCTCCTCGATCAGAGCAGCAGGGGGGTGTCGGTACCTTGGTGGGATCTCCTTTATCGCCACCTCCTCAGCCCAGGAAGAAGAAGTTCAAGAGAAAGGTAGATCAGCTATGTTTTTACTGCAAGAGGGACGTGCATCTAGCTTTGGACTGTCTCGAGTTTCTTGAGGATAAGGCAGCAGGGAAGATCTCAGAGGTAGGGGGTAAAATGTATGATAGACAGGGTAGGATAGTAGAGAAGTCCGCAGATGGACTTAGGGCTCAGTTATATAGGCAAAACCAGGAAGAGTTGAGAAGGTAGGGTCGGTTTTGTCTATATAAGTGAGCGAGCATTTTGTAAGGCATCAACTTAGGTTCTGTGTGATACCCTCTTAAACTTAGAAGACATTTTGATGATTGCTGTTAATCTAGATCTAACTCTCTAGTGTTTCTACTGAGTTGGGGTTTTGAGGGTCAGGGTGGTTTAGATGAGGCATGTACATATTTAGATGGCCTACGCCATGGCCTTTGAGAGACAGATCTGACATTTATTCTAGGGGTAGTTGTCAGTGTGGGTTTGGTGTGACTTGAGTTGAGCAAGCTATGATTTGGAGACACTTTCTGTGTGAGACATTGTACTCCCTGAGTGTATATTATGATGAGGTTTCCTTCAGGGACCATTCTTATATGTGACGGTCACTTGTCTCTCTCACATGTGTGGTTGCCCTATGATGTATGATGAGTTTGTGTGGACAATGTGTGAAAAACCTTTTATGTATCTTGGGTATTGTGAATATGATTGTAAGTAAAACTGTCTACTCCTCGGTATACTTGTGCGACCTGCCCACGGCAGCTGATAAGGCAGAGTATAAGGGGAGGAAGCGCAATTCGTCTGTGAAAGTTATCTAAGTTGTGATGAGGACCCATAAGATGGTCTCTCAGTGATGTTCTGTTTTATGATGGGACCCCCTTAGATTTTGGAAAAGGGGGGATGTTTTATGATGTTTTGTGATGTAACGAAACTCCTCGTGACTTTGAGAGAGGGGGTGTTTGGTTTATGATGAGACCCTCGTGACTTCTGGAAGAGGGAATGTATTATTTTATGGCGAGACCCCTCGCGATTTTGGAAGAGGGGGTGTTTTGTTTATGAAGAGAGCCCCTTTTGGATTGTTGAAAAAGGGGAATGATTTTTGGTTGGAAGACTCATCCTCAGAAGTGAGTAAATTGATTTATGGCATGACGAGTTGTTTGATGGGTGATAAAGTCTGACGGAAAGGGCCACTTTTTGTTTGAAATGTTTGAGAAAGTCGCAATGAGTACAGGGCGAGAGATGTCTCAGGGTGGGTGGCTGCTGGCTCTGATCAACTCAGGGGTCACGGCCTGGTGGATTTAGCGGTGATTTTTCTTGTAAGCGTGCGAAGGATGTCATGCCTATTGAAGGAGGGCTGGTAAATGCCTTCGGACCCCTGCGTATTGCGCAGTGGGCCTGTGATTTTGTTTTGCGACGCCCCGTCTAACCACCTGTGCTAGTTCTGGGACATATTGAAGAAAGGTCAAGCTAACGGAAAAGAAGTTAGTACCTCTAGGGCGTAACCCCATTGGATGGCTGCTAGCCGGCGCAACCTGGCTGCGGGACCGCGAGGTAAGAGTTTAAGGGGGGTTGCCCGCCCAAGTGAAGTTACTCCGCGGGATAATGATGGTTGAAAATTTTTAGGGGGAATCTTGATTGAATGCTTATCAGGAGGAAACCTATCGTTGTGTAACCAACGAGGGGTACTGCCGTTAAATAACAATGCGGTGGGCCGTAGTCCTGGCCCGATCAGCCAGGCTATGATGGGCCAAGATGGAGACCTAGCCTTTCTGTACTAGACTGCAGAAAGAGCTGAGCGGATACTAAGTATTTGTATATGCTTATGAAGATTTGATTGCAAGGGATTCTTTTTTAGAAAGAAGGCGATAGTGCCTTCAAAGGTCTCGGTTAAGGCCCGCGTCCCTAGTTTTAGCCTGGACTAGGGACACCCAACTAAAAGCCGAAGGTTGTCTAGGACCAGGGAGAGGACGATTGAAAAAGTCTTTAGAACTTATGCTGTCAGTGTCATAATATCTGGACGGTAAGAGGCCCGGGTTAGAAACCTGGCAGTATATAGTTGTGGAGGCATGGTTTGATGGAGGCCTCTACCCTGTGTTGGTCGGCTAATCGGATTGGCTCCTCTTTCGTCAGCATTTGGAATGTGGATGAATTTATAGCTTTCTGATTTGGCGAAGCGACGGGGACGTCGCTTAATATGGTCCGGTAAGCTGTTGGTGCGAATACCCTTACAAGGATATCCGCCCTGTTTTTTGCAAGTGACAGAAAATAGTTTTGGTCTAGAGTCTAAGTATACCGCGCTAAGCGCGGCTGCGTCAGTAATTGCTTTGACTGGGTGGTTGACCGCAATAGCGAGTGTGTGGGTGCGCAGGTTTAAGGCGCGCGTGATTCTTTTCTGTTATTTTATCGTAAAGCCGGCCCGGACCTCGGTCGTTTTGGTTGATGATATTATTATTATTTATTAAGCAGGGATTAAGGATACTTTCTTTTTGATTAGTAGGCCAAGCGCACGTGCGGAGAACGACCCCGACGACGGCATCGACAATAACGGCGCGATTTCGTGTGGTGAGCGGGATGTCGTAGGATGGCGCGCGGGGCAAATATAGCATGGTATAAACAAGCCGGCGTGGGCACTGAGAGCCGCGCAGCCGTTTTTGTTGGCCCAAAGCGCCGCGCCGCACCGTCTTATATGGCACTCGACATGTTCTGGTATCAGGCTTGGGCTATAGGTTACGGCATCGGACTATTATAACGGAGGTTCGGGGATCGAGGCCGGCAGACGTCGGCGCGGTGGCAGCGGA